TGACAATTAATATTGGCTGAAATGTTTTCCAAGTTGGGTGCAAAAGAGTTATAGTTTTGTTTTGATTTAGTATTTATGAGAAGACTTGAGTCGTAGATGGCTGCGACTCCACCTCCTCGACCAGTGACTCCAGCAACATGAGTATTTATATGGGTGGAGTTGCTTCATTTAGTGTCACATATTTTTCATGTCGAAACCAGGTTTCAGTGAGGCAACATAAGTCAATCTGATTGTCTGTTATTAAGTCATTAACTAATGCAGCCTTAGATGACAAAGCTCTGATGTTTAACAGTCCACAATTAATTGTCTTGTTTTGTTGCATTAATGTACTTTTGGTGTTCACTTTTATGAGGTTTTTGTGTAGAATTCCTCTTCTTTGTATTTGCCTCGTTGGCCACTGGGTAGAGCTGGCGAGCAGGATTGGGAGTGTCTGTGGCGGAAAAATAGAGATAATGCGTATCAGGGTCAGTGACCGTTGTTGTGACTAGCGCTGGTGTGGCTGTAGGGGGCAGCGGACCATGGCAGGGGGCGCCAATACCCAGGTCAGCAGTCTGTCCTGAAAATGAGTTTGATGTGAATAGTCAGGCACGTGGATGAGACAGCACTGTGTCTTGAATATTAGCGGACAACATCTGAGAACCTGCTCTGTTTGGATGTACGCCGTCGTTGTTAAAAAGAGACCGGCGATTCCAGAAAAGGTTCAAATTGTCAATAAACCCCACTTTCTGAGCTATGCAGGTGGACTGCAGACCGGTGTGAAGACTAAGGAGTCACAACCCAATGGGTTTACTAATAGTGGTTTGTATGAATTTCGTCTAAACATGTTCCTTCTTTACTTCTCTTAACCATTCCTCCTTTGGGTGTAATGCGAGTGCTGCATGGGATAATCGCAACAATAGTGAAAATGTAAATAGGTTTTTTGCACACGTCAAAATATCCTAGGAATCTATCAACACTTTTTTCGATATTATGAGACGTTTTATTTTCCTAACTCTAATAGCAGTATAATCCCAGTACACAATTATAAGGTTTTCAGGGTATTTTCATCCCAAATACTTTCTTAATCTTATATTGGACTGACAGCAACCTCTGTTTTAGTCCCTTTGTCCAAGCTAAGTTATCCAAGATGTCCTTCTCCAATGCTGAGTCGTAATTACTTCTCCTGAGGGATCCTAAAGATGTCCCAGGCCAGATAGCATCCCTGGTTCTCCTACCAGTTTGATATGTTCACAATGCCTCAAGGTGCATTTCCACCTTAACAGAATCCTTTAAAAAGGAATAGTCGCTGTTTTCCAATGTTCCTAACCCAGGGGGTATAGAAATGTTGGACACTTTTATGTGAAGTTTACATTTTTTCAGTCACTGTCCAGATCATGCGCGCAGGTGAGTGTTAAGTGTATTAGAGCTAGAGTTGGGGGGGTTAGGCAGCATCATTTTGACTATTTTCTTAAAATGCTACTGTTTATTACAATTATAGTTTTCTGTATTACATGCATGTGGTAAACATAACATGGTATTTGTAAATAAACCAAGGTTCTAACGTTCTCATGTTTGGTATACTACATATTTTGGTTAAGCTTAAGGTGTTTTGTGGCCGGTTATTGGAAACTCTTTGTTTAGGCCGCAGTATCAGGAATAAAACCACCAGACTCAGGACAGTTTCATTCCACAGGCCATAAGACTGCTAAACGCCTGAGCTCTGTTAAGTGCCTCCATATCCCAAAGCATTCATCTGGTTGCATCTTAGAATGTATTACATTTTTTATCGTAATAGTTATCACTAGATCAAACAGTATTTAATTATATTTCACTGTACAATATTTAACCTTACATTATGTTTCTTTCACCTTCACTATTTTATTCAAATGTCTCGTACTCTTTCATTTGCACAATTTTCATTTTTATTATTATTATTGTTATTTTATTGTCTTATGTCATATCATATGTTGCACTGTTGGAGGAGCTCAGGACCTAAGATTTTCATTGTTACACTGTAGCTACCACTGAATATTGAATCTTTGTTTGAGAAAAATAAAGTGTTTTTAGTAATTTTCCCCTATTGCTCACTGCTTCCTGCATAAGCATTGAACATTGGTATTGGACTTAAATTATAAGGCGAGGAACATTAAGGATATTGACTCTCTTGATTCAGGCACAACCACTTCTCCAACGTCCAGACTCTTGGATAATTATTATACCACTGAAAAGTTGCCATAACTTGTCAAGCTGTTTAGAATTCCTGGGCTCCTGTCCTTCGCTGTCCCCTTCATTGTCTGCTGCTGGCTATGCGTGGATGTAGGGGGGGTGGGATACTCTCCTGACAGCTGAGACTGCTGCGACAGCACAAAGAAACAGTAGACTGGAACTCTGCTATAATATCTGCATCCTCATCATCTCCTGCACAGTATAAGTCAAATCAATGCTGTAACAGCTCCTTCCTCTTGTTTGCCCTGCTGCAGGAGCTTGTCAGTAAGGAGAAGTGCCTCGGTACTCCTCAGGCGACCTGTAAAGGTAAACCTGTTCCCTGCACGCTGGTCACTGTTGGAACTATTGCCCAGAGCTGCTGGAGAAAACAATATTTTGCAGTCGACACTAGGCTGCAGGAAGCAAATGTTCCCACCAGTTAATCAACTTTTCATAACACCGATATTACAGATGACACCAGACATTTACAATAAAAGTTATTTGGCGCTTACTTTAATCTTAAATGGCTAGGTTGTAACCCACACTACCTGTTATTGTTCTGTCCTCTGCTTTGCTAGATATCATACGTTTGAGGATTGACCTTATAATGTTATCAAGTTCATATACCATCCCTTTTTAGGGTTAAAATCTGAAACTTGCTGCTGTGTTGGACAAAGCTGTGGTTGTTACAAAGGCTTTTCTTGAGCAGAAATTCCCATAAATGGTAAAAAAAAAAAGACACCTTATATGGTAATAATATGGAATCAGCATATTATATAATTCTGGGATTATACTGCCTGATAAACTGATGTTTTTAATATAGATTTGTTTTTACCACAATGTCACCAAAAGCACCAAATAGGTAACACAGCAAGTTGCAATGCTTTCATCAGTGTGCCATAAAATCAATCCCTATTGGGTTACCTTAATCGGCAAAAGAAAGACACTTATTGGACATTCATGCAAATGTGAATCTTCAATATTGTTACTATTAGGGTAGGTGTGCTTTGTCATGTTTTAATAATAACTTGATTAGGGTTAGGGAACACTTATAGATGAAAAGTGATCACAAACTTCCTCCCTCTGTGCTCTATAATAACAATTTCCAACTGTCTCTTTTGCTCCTGATGGACAGGACTCACAGTTCATAAAATGGCTGTAATTTTGTCTGCATGTTCTGTTTTCAGGAAATATCTGAAAGCCTGTTATTTGTCCTTGATGGCTTTATTGCTGCCTCCCCTCATCTTCCTGAGGACCCTACCTCTGGTTTGGCAGCGGTGGTCGGTCTCACATTGTGAGGTCACATGGGGAGAGATGTTGGCAGCTCCTATCATCAGAGCTTGCCAACCTATTCACAGCCATCGGAACCTGGTGCCAAACGGAGAAATGAAGCATGTTATCTGTAACTAATACAGTCCTTACCTCTGCTGTGGGATTATCTGACATCTTTGACTGGGCTCTCTGAAGTCCGCTATATGAAATGCTGCTAATATATCCGAAAGATCCACAAGCTGAAGTCAGAGCAGCTGTGTGATATTTTATTAAACAGATTATGGTGGCATTGCAATACACTTCTTGGTAGGACCCAAGACATGTTGAACTAACTACAGTCTCAGCTGGAGAAACCACTGGATATCCATGCAGTTTGTCAAGCCAAAAGTGAATAAGTAATTATTTTGATATTGTGACCCACACAATTACATTATTTTGATATTGTGACCTACACAGGCACATTATATTGGTTGATGTTTAAACTGTAGATTAAGTGAGACGCTAATCAAATTTATTCTTATTACTCTTTGATTTAAAGCTAAATTCTCCGAAGGCGCACTCTTGAATTAATTCCTCTTTTTCACGGCTGATTTAAAGCTTTTTCTTTTGCCGCAAGTCACCGATTTCTTAGAGTCAGCCACGCCAAATTGATATAATAATATCTCCATAGACAGAAAACAAACAGCAAACAGTGGTGTTTTCCAGGCATGCAGTTGACAAAACGGCAGACCAGTGGGTGTCCATTTTTTCACAAACACATCCAAGTGTAACCCTCCTGTTGTCTTTGGGTCAAATCTGACCGATTTACTACTTTCATCAATCATAACTTTTTGTTTTACATTCAATTGCATTAAGGCTTTATGATATCCTTCACATTAGACATTTGAAATATAAAATTGCTGATCCCCACTTTCATTGAATTGTGGATGATTTAGTCAACTTTGTAACACCCATGGTGTTTGTTCCCGGTCAAAAATGACCGGCATAAAGAAATTGAATTAGTAACCATCCGGATCAGATAAAACACACACACACACACACACACACACACACACACACACACACACACACACACACTCTCTAGATGTTTCCCCCCCCCTTATGTGCCCATTCCCACATGGATCACACCTGGCACACGCAATACATGTTCAGTGTCTGTTCTTTGTATATTTATTGCAGTTTTTCCAGTAGTCTGATACAATAATTACAGTTTGAAAGGGTGTTAAATGAAATTTGGTGATGATTAATGGTTTTTGTGTTAATGTAATAGCAGTTAAAACAGGACCGGTCAAATTTGACCGTGAACACCAAAGTAAGGGCATTCATTGTTTTAAAAACACATTGGTGGTAAGATAACATAAGTAAGATAGTACTTTATTGATCCCAATTTGGGAAATGTTTGTCTTGCAGCAGCATAAAAAGATGTTACCTTATCCGAACTGCAAATATAATTTTCCTCTAAAAAAAAACTGTACACTACTAGACCCATGTTTGACAGTGGTGGCAGCAGAGTGTGTTTCTGCCGGTATTGAGACCAGAGAAGAAGAAGATCGAGCGGAGCCGGAAGGACTGTCTGACAGAAGGACGTAGCTGTGCTGTGTTTAGCTCAGAAAGATGCTGACCAATATCTCTAATGTGCTGAGGGCCTGCGCTCAGAGGAATGTAAGTACAGTAATGTTGTAGTATGAATGTTCTTAGTCAAGCTCGTCATGACAGTCGCCCTCTAAAACCTCAAAATGTGACTCAAAACCAGACTGTCATCCCTGTGCTGACCTTGTGAGGCCGAGCGATAGCTTGTTTGGCTAACACAGCTACAGCCTGCACAGAAAACTCTTCACTACAGCTCAGTGATTTTATCAGTGTTCCTTATCATTTAAGATATCCTACGTTGTTTTTTCTAATTATAGAGACAGGTTTTTTTTACAATGAGTCTAAAAATTGACACCAAGTAACGGTATTAATAAGTTTCTTACAACTAAGCAGTCCAATCAAGTGGAAGAAAAACAAAGCTTACCTTAGGTTTCATTGAATTGTATAGCTCTGGTATTATATTTACATTGCCTTTCCTTTCTTTTGCTGCTAAACATAATGAGAAAATGTTTCTAAAGAATGTTAATTGTTATCATTTTGGAAAGATCCCTTCCTAAAACAATTTATCTTGTCCCTTACTTATTATTATTACAATATTTTTAAATGTTCTGTTATAGATAACCAGTAAGACAGAAAAACTGCCTGCTTATTTTTTGTATAAAAACATGCTTTTATTCTTTAAGTATGGAAACAGTAACGCGTAACATGCAGTAGCTCAAGCATGGTATTGCTATATTGTTAAAGATGTTTAATCCTCAGTAGATTTGTATTCCTAAAGAAAGGTCTTCTTATGTCCCACGGCAGGGATCTGTAGCGCTCGTGTCAGCACGAACATATGCTGACTTCACAACCGAGGCTTCCTTTGAAATAAAGGTAAACACAACTTTTTTGTCAATTCATAAATCCACATGGCAGTTTGTGCATTATTATTGATGTTTTCTTTCCTTTAGAAATGTGACATCCACAAGTTTGAGGAGGCCCCGGCCACTGAGGTGGTGATGACCCGCGATGAGGGTCTGAAGTACTACCGCGTGATGCAGACCATCAGGCGTATGGAGCTGAAAGCAGATCAGCTGTACAAGCAGAAGATCATCAGAGGATTCTGCCACTTGTACGATGGCCAGGTTGAGTGCACTTTATATATATTTTTATAAAGTATACATAAAAAAATACATATAGAGTTTCCCTTTGATGCTGCTGGTGTGAGAAAGAACGTTAAATGGCATTGATATTAAATATTATTATAAACCTAATGCACATATTTTTAAACTGTAAAACAAGTTTTTAAAACCTATTTAAAGTTCACCTATTATGCAAAATCCACTTTTCCATGTCTTTTATACATCAACACGTGTCCCCTCTCTCTGTGTAAAGAGATGCTGAAAGTCTCAGTAACAAAGACCCCCTCTCTTTTTGTCCTGATCCATTTATATAAAAAATCTGTCTGAAAATGAGCTGATCAGATTTTGGCCACTTTATGATGTCATAACGTTTTTTTGGCTTGTTGTAACCATTAGCCAATCACCAACCAAGGTAACCCCCCCCCCCCCCCACACCCTTATCACCTGAATCTCCTCCTAGAGCACCTTTGTGTTCT